TGGAATGTTGGCAATAAAAATAGGTCAGAATGGCATAAACCGTATTGCATTGGTTCACAATGATGTTCAGATGTGTGGCTTGTAGCTGTTGTGAATAAATTTACGGGCAGTGTTTTGCAGTCTGAAAGTAGTCACCTATTCGGCCAACTCCGGAATTTGAAGAACGTTTAATATACAACCTTTGCTTATTGACATTGTCGTCACCATTGGCAACACAACATGAGAGTTCAACACTGATGCTGTGTTGCTATATCAACATGATCTGTTTGAAAACTTGTTTGTGAAGAAAAGAATAAAAGTGGACAGGGGAGGGGTTCACATCTATCGTGTCGCAATCACTCCGAAGGGCCCACGCCTCTGGACAGTTGTTTAGACAGTGTAGGTAAAAAGTGGAAACAACGCCGTTGGCATCCATTAGCAGTCATGTCGTGCAGCGATTCCAACCCGCCACAGATGGATTGCGCGAACCCTACCTGGAAAAACGGGTCGCAGCGACCGTACCCAGACTTTTCGTGATCTCTTTCATACCCCTCGCACAACCTACGGACATCATTGTTATTATTTAGCCCGGTGGTAAGCTGACTACACGCACTAGTCTGCTGTAAACCGAATACCCGAAGTAATCTTTTGTCTAGTCGTATGCGAGGTGTTTCCGGAATCCAAGGACTTCACGTTACCGTTGCGAATAGTGTGTCTTCAAGAAAATATAACGCGATATCTCAAATACCTTAGCGATAGAAATATGAGGCGGCGTTTGCCTAACATATTCATTTGAGAAAGGTCATAAAAGAGAGATCCAGGTACGATTCACTGGCGTCTCTCGTGGGCGAACGAGCTCGCTTGGCGAATTTCATACAATTAGGGTTCGAGCAGAACATGAAGTTGCTGGAAAATCGGGTACTGCACCATCCTAATAACCTGCGAAATGAGCAAAACCAGCTGTGGGTTGCTGAACTATTTTCGAAAACTTTGTGACTGGTGTCTCTCCAAGAAAACAGACCTCTAGCGTAGTTTGAATTTCACACAGCACGACTAACTGGTGCACGTGACAGGCAACCCAGAATAAGAGCGTCACATAAGAGCACTCCGTGATTCAATGAACGTCATCACAGCAAATGGGAAGAAAGAAAACCAAAGCCAGCATCTAGTTGGTTGGAACACATAAAACCAACACAGAGCACTGTAAAATTGAGCTAACTGTGATATGTTGAATGTTGATTCCGGTTCCGTAGAATCAGGAGTATCAAGTATAGTGATGTTTAATTTGTTTTTCAAAACTAAACATCGTGTGTTGTTTTTTGTTATCAGTTAACCTAAACCTGTCCTATAAACATTAGAAGCTTTTATGTCCTTTGGTCTACTGAGGTCGTATCTACGATTTCACGAACCCCAGTCGCCCATCAGTTGTGAAGAAAAGGCGGTCAGTCAAATGACAAACGAGATAATTATGTGTAGTACTTTGCGCATCTCTAGTCTGCTGTTACATGAAGGGTGCTGGTCTCGAACGGAAGTGTGAAGCTACTGTTGCCTGTGTGGCGTTTTGTACCTTTATTTTACTTCCATTATAACACTAAGTATTTCATCAATTGCGTAATCGTCTTTTTTGTTTAAATACAAAAAACTGCAAAAACGCGCACTTGTCCAATTTCACATAATACAAGCGTGGTCACGTGCTTCGACTCTCTCTTCTGATTTCACTCGCGCTTGCAGCAGTCTCATGTACTAACTCTGGTACCAAAACATTTCAGACATCCTCGAAATCTATTATATGTGGGAACTGTTTAGAAGAAGACCTCTGGACCAACATAATTGGATTATTGTTTATTCGCTGACCTGGGCCAACGACGAACTATTTTAAAGGGGACAATTGTTAGTGAGTCTATTCCATCTGATCTCTTCATTTTTGTATACCCAACCTAACGTAACTATTTTTATCTCTTTGCCACACACTCCTGGTAAACTAACTTATTGGGTAGCCAGAACACTACACCTGAGACAACTCCGGAATTTGAAGAACGTTTAATATACAACCTTTGCTTATTGACATTGTCGTCACCATTGGCAACACAACATGAGAGTTCAACACTGATGCTGTGTTGCTATATCAACATGATCTGTTTGAAAACTTGTTTGTGAAGAAAAGAATAAAAGTGGACAGGAGAGGGGTTCACATCTATCGTGTCGCAATCACTCCGAAGGGCCCACGCCTCTGGACAGTTGTTTAGACAGTGTAGGTAAAAAGTGGAAACAACGCCGTTGGCTTCCATTAGCAGTCATGTCGTGCAGCGATTCCAACCCGCCACAGATGGATTGCGCGAACCCTACCTGGAAAAACGGGTCGCAGCGACCGTACCCAGACTTTTCGTGATCTCTTTCATACCCCTCGCACAACCTACGGACATCATTGTTATTATTTAGCCCGGTGGTAAGCTGACTACACGCACTAGTCTGCTGTAAACCGAATACCCGAAGTAATCTTTTGTCTAGTCGTATGCGAGGTGTTTCCGGAATCCAAGGACTTCACGTTACCGTTGCGAATAGTGTGTCTTCAAGAAAATATAACGCGATATCTCAAATACCTTAGCGATAGAAATATGAGGCGGCGTTTGCCTAACATATTCATTTGAGAAAGGTCATAAAAGAGAGATCCAGGTACGATTCACTGGCGTCTCTCGTGGGCGAACGAGCTCGCTTGGCGAATTTCATACAATTAGGGTTCGAGCAGAACATGAAGTTGCTGGAAAATCGGGTACTGCACCATCCTAATAACCTGCGAAATGAGCAAAACCAGCTGTGGGTTGCTGAACTATTTTCGAAAACTTTGTGACTGGTGTCTCTCCAAGAAAACAGACCTCTAGCGTAGTTTGAATTTCACACAGCACGACTAACTGGTGCACGTGACAGGCAACCCAGAATAAGAGCGTCACATAAGAGCACTCCGTGATTCAATGAACGTCATCACAGCAAATGGGAAGAAAGAAAACCAAAGCCAGCATCTAGTTGGTTGGAACACATAAAACCAACACAGAGCACTGTAAAATTGAGCTAACTGTGATATGTTGAATGTTGATTCCGGTTCCGTAGAATCAGGAGTATCAAGTATAGTGATGTTTAATTTGTTTTTCAAAACTAAACATCGTGTGTTGTTTTTTGTTATCAGTTAACCTAAACCTGTCCTATAAACATTAGAAGCTTTTATGTCCTTTGGTCTACTGAGGTCGTATCTACGATTTCACGAACCCCAGTCGCCCATCAGTTGTGAAGAAAAGGCGGTCAGTCAAATGACAAACGAGATAATTATGTGTAGTACTTTGCGCATCTCTAGTCTGCTGTTACATGAAGGGTGCTGGTCTCGAACGGAAGTGTGAAGCTACTGTTGCCTGTGTGGCGTTTTGTACCTTTATTTTACTTCCATTATAACACTAAGTATTTCATCAATTGCGTAATCGTTTTTTTTGTTTAAATACAAAAAACTGCAAAAACGCGCACTTGTCCAATTTCACATAATACAAGCGTGGTCACGTGCTTCGACTCTCTCTTCTGATTTCACTCGCGCTTGCAGCAGTCTCATGTACTAACTCTGGTACCAAAACATTTCAGACATCCTCGAAATCTATTATATGTGGGAACTGTTTAGAAGAAGACCTCTGGACCAACATAATTGGATTATTGTTTATTCGCTGACCTGGGCCAACGACGAACTATTTTAAAGGGGACAATTGTTAGTGAGTCTATTCCATCTGATCTCTTCATTTTTGTATACCCAACCTAACGTAACTATTTTTATCTCTTTGCCACACACTCCTGGTAAACTAACTTATTGGGTAGCCAGAACACTACACCTGAGAACATATAGGAAAAGTGACTTTGTGTCTAGTAGAACCAGTGATGGGGGAAACACTACGGTAACGAGTAGAATGACTGAATACTGACCAGTTTGGATAAAATGGCGGAATATTAACTTCACCCAGATAAGCCCGAAAGCGACCGGATTTTACTAGTACTTTTTAGAAAAAAACAGGAAGAAGTAATCAAAGCCGAATAACAAGATCTTAAGAACAGTTTTCGTAAATTAGGATTTGGTCTGTGGGCTAAAAAGACCTCTTTTCTAGCCAATAATCTGAGTGTGAGTTCAGATATATTCTTGATATGAGGTGGAAATACCCGCTCGGTCGCTGTTGTTGGAATGTCTTCTTCTTCAAGCTTCTTCTGGTAAACTTGGATATCTTTTGTCGTAGGGTACTTTGAGTGGGCAGTGTTGTCCTTCTTTTATAGCCCTGTGGTGTCGCAGTGTGTTGTCGTCCAGTTAAACAGGGTTTAAGCGCAACATTCCTTGTGGCTTATTAGATTATTACTGTCGCAGTCCATTTTTTGATTTGTATACGTTTCTTTGAGCTGTACGCAGGTTTCAAAAATCCCATCCACTTTTCGGTTCACTAAGACGTCCAAGAATGGTGGTTAATTGCCCCTCACCAGTTCGACTTTAAGCTTGTAATCTCCACACGTGGTGTTGAGCAGCTCATGCGCATCGTGTAGTGAACCTCGTTTTTTGTGATGACAAAGGTGTACTCTAGGTAGCGGATCCATACGTTTGGAGTGACAATTGCTAGTACCGCACGGTCTGATCTTTTCACCACCACCACAAAGATAAATCCGAATATTGGAGATCCTCTGAAGTCCATTCCAGCTGTTAGCACAGTTGTCTATCGAAGCCGAGGTATCCCTGCAAATGTTCAACAGCTTGTGTAGAATTTCGAGCTTTGCAGCTCCTATTGTGTTTGGATTATACCGGAGCAGTTCCGTTATTGTTTCTCTGACAAGGATGACCGTCGTTGACTGAAGTGAACGCTCCTCAACGCACGATACACTACGCTCCCCAGTAACGCACTGATGATTGATGGATGATGAAATGTCAAAAGTCAAATCGAATTGCCCAGCTCAGTGGACAAACCAACGACCATCTACACTACCCGTGCTACCAACATTCTCTTTGATTACAGAACAGCCGAAATAAATACAATTAACCACTTGTGGAAAGACTTGATGGGGAATCCGAGTAAACCGTCTGACCATCCTTGTGTAGAGACCGCAGTAATCCGGGTAAGACATTTTTTATTGTTCCACTGAGCCGTGAACAGATCGCTCATCAGGCCCGAACTCAAAACGTCCATTGGTCAAATCATTGTCAAACAAAACTAGATGGCTTTTAAGGAAAATCTGAGTGTCTTTTCATAGTGAACAAGGTGTTTGGGTTCAGCATTGTGACCTATGGTATGATATTTGTCTTCCTGTGGCAAGTTCCATCCTGAAACTTGTCTGTGGAAAAAAAATGGTGTCATCTCATTTGAGCACTAAAACAACCAGCGTACATAAAAATACTGATCTTATTTGGCCAACAGTTTTGAACACTAAATCTTTCAGCTGTAAATTGATACCCAGATGCCATCCCATCCGAAAGAAGCAGGAGGGCTTGGATACTGCCAGGTGGCTCAAGCCTTGACAAGAGGCGTCGAGATGCGCAAGCAGGATTCGAACCACCGATCTTCTAATCGGTTAATTCGCGCTCTGACCACTAAGCCATCTCGTCTCATGAACGCTGACACGACGCGTACATTTAGTAGCGAAATCGGAGTTTCATTAACGGTGATACAAATGTACACGCGGGTAGTATTGCCAATTTTTGTAAGTGAAGGTAAACGTATGTTAATCAACGAGTCACTCATTTTTCAAATGCGGGATCATTTGAATCATATATATATATATATATATATATATATATATATATATATAGAATGGTTTTAAACGATTGAGAATATGCTACTTGATGCGTCTACAATATCCGTGCTCACCTCAGGCAGTGTATAACTACTTACCAGATTCAGGCTCTGAAACATCCACTGCAATGTAAACGAAAAACAACAAAAAGGGCGAATATATACTCAGTTGGAAACTAATTGGGTTTTTCGAGAGACTCATCTGAAACCCAGCTGAATCTCTCGGTTTTGATATTCCCAGGCAACCGAACGTGCTTCACCAGACCGCCTCATGTTTCATTCGCTACGATATTCGAGATATCGCGATACATATATATTTTTGTGATGCACTACTCAAGTAAAACATAAGGTTGTACGGAAACTCGAGGACTGCGCCCACCTGACGAGCCCCAAGCAGGACAAAACCGGTCGTGGGCTGTCGAGGACTTTTTAGCAACCTTATGAGTAGTGCATAACAAAAAAGAGCATTAAAATGAGTTGTTTGGTAGCCGAATAACTCACATTCAAACAGTTACAAGGTAGGGTGCTAAAATTCTATTTTGTAAGTTATATGGAAGTTTAAGTTTTGGATGAGTGAAACGCCTTGGAGGGCGATTCTGCTGTTCTTTACCACAGCATTCTTTGCGTAGCCTCCTACAACCTGTTCCTGTCAGCCTGGCAGTCAACACAAATGGGTCCATTCACTCGCACATCGGGTGTAGACACTGAGGTTTGTGAACTCAGATTTTCAAAACATATCCATGCTACATGTACTTTGGCTCTGTCGTCCAAACAAGCAAATTTTTAGTAATGAATTTGAGCAAAAATGAACAAAACTTAATCAATGAAAGTTCCAAATTTTCCAACTGAAGGACTATGTAAATGGTTAAATATGAAGCGGCAGTACAGCACTGACAATATGCAAATTGACGCATGTAAAATGCTCTAGTGAACTGGTAAAATAAAAAAAACATTATCTCGTCAGGTTCGGGCAGTGTAAACTCTGCAAGAAAGCAGGTACTTCACATTGGTGAATACTCAAGTATACGCAACAATCGAGGCATGGGCCTGATGGCTATTTGATAGCCGATATTCCCACATTCTTGCGTTGCATTCATTACAAATTTTCAAGGTTGATGAATGAAATTGGATGGAGAACGATTTTCCGGTAACGCTGGTCCATAACGCAACATTTGTTCCGTAACCCGATGCGGCCTGCTATTTTGTTCGTCTCAGCCCACATAATCAACGGAAATTGGATTATGCTGCTTCGGGCTACCCAGTGTTTCGTTTACTCCAGGACACAACAGAACGTGCTAATGTATGGTTTGGTGGTGCGGATGAGATAGCTGGAAAGCTGTTCACCCAGGCAAATCCGTTCGTGGAAATGGGTAGCGCATGCATTCCGAGTTGATGATCCGTAAGCATATTACGAGTTATGGTTAAAAAAAAATGAATACTGTGGTTACTGTAGTGGTATGCAACGCTGCGAGATGAGATGTGCAAACGTATCAGGAGTTGACCATGTTTTCTTGTGTTTTGGCACGGAACACTGACATCCAGGTCTTATCATCACTATTTTATCGAAAATAGCGATCGTTGCTTCTGAGCATAACTTATATAGCTCGAAATCACCGGTGCGGTTGCCATAAATAAAACGAAGCCTTCCTGAAATCTTTGAGACAATAATAACTCTCTCGAAATCAGAAAATTTCAGACCAATCAAGCAAGTCAGTCATCAAAGTTAGACAAAATCTGGACATCAACTACAACGTCAGAAATAATGATTGGCAGTTTTAGTCTCTCCATCAATAGATGACCATTGTTGCACTGAACAGAAGATTTCCCAAGGAATTTGCTGGAAGAATCGATGAAATTGATTCTTCTAGTAACCTCTTGATTGCTCTTAACTAGTCTTCTTAATAAAAATGCTTGCAACCGGAATGACGCCGCTAAATGCCTTCATTTTTCATGTGTTCCGAAAAGCTTGGTGAAACAGATATTAATTCGCTATCACTGTTCTGAATTCATGTTTTTCACCAATTGGAGCCTTACAATTTTCATTTTCAACATTGTTTTGTTCAGCTTACTAGCAGTTTCATGCGTAAATCATAATCTGTGAAAAATGAAGGGGTTTGTGCAATCCAAATACAGTTCTGGGAAATTGCAATTAGACGCACCAATCGTGTATTCGGCCTCAAAGATAAACTGAGGAGTTTGTCCAGTTGTTCGCAAGTACACAGTCAAATCGGTGTTCCACAATGTTACCGATTTATTTCGCAGCCATCCACAGTAACTGGCAAGTTGTCTCACTTGACCCACCGATCCTGCGTAGATCACCACGGATCCCTCATTACAGTCAAGCTGTATGGATGCAGAAATATATAACAATAAAGGGAGATGAATTTGGTTTAGAATAAATAATCACAGCCATCGAAATATATTCGTTTTGGTGAAAGTGTTGTATCGCCAATGTCATCCTAGGTGATTTTGCCGTGGTACGTCTCGCTTCCGGAACGAGTTCATCCTGTGCCTAGATCAGTGGCTTGCGGAAAACGTGGCTTTCTGTACGAGTAGTGATAGTATCTCAACGAGTCTCTCAGTACAAGATCGCCTATCTAACTGCAGTGTGGCGCTATGATTCGGAGGACTGCTTCACATGACTGATCAGCATCCGCAGCCAAATACTGGTGTATTAGCAGGTTTTTCAGTAAGTGAAACGTGCTCTGCTGATGGTTTTCCACGAGATCAAATCGTCTCCAAGGTGTATCTTGACATAGTCCAGCAGTATTTAACACATTCCATTAAAACATCAATCATAAATGATAAAGCAATCCTCTAAGTTGTGCTCCAGATTGATAACGGGGTCTCAGTATGGAAATAGAAGTCTTTACTATAGGTCACGCCTTTTGCAGTATGTTCTTCCACGGGGACTGCCTGATGTTGACCTTATTCGGTCACTGGCTACCTACTCCTGCTCTGACACTCTAGGCTAAGTCCAAAAAAATTAGCGGCAAGAATCAAAGATTCGATAGTTTTCGCTTCGTGGAGAGCAGGGGGACTTCGGCAACAAAGTACGGGATTGATTGTTAGGCATTCCATTTGCGAAAAGGCATTGGTCGCCCAACGATTCTTGCAGCACCCATCTTTCTGACGCGACTGGTCATTTGAGATGTCGACAGTCTACTCTCTTCCTGATTAGGTTTAAATGCCTTTGAAGTTAGTATGGTGGTGAGACAGTAGTGGTCTAATCAGGTTTTTCTGTCAATGATGATATAAGGGCTCGAATTAAGATGGACCGATTGGCATTCTCTGTTTTGTTGTGATTCATTGGTCCACCAAATGTCATTTCTTTTGTTCATCATTTTCTTATACTTATTGGTTCACTTGCAATTTGCGGTGGCTTACGGTCTGCTAGAAAGTAACCATACGGCAACAAGACAGACTGGTGCGAAGCATAAGTCGCAAATGGATGAAGAGAAACAGAGGACTTTCATATGCGAGGTACGCCAGATAGCCCTTCGGACTAATCCGAATACATTCTAGATAAACTCAAAATAAGCAGGCGCTTGATATCTTAAAAATATGTACAAACGCAACAAAGAAGAAAGGAAGTACCTTCTCACTGACGGAGACACTACACCTCAAGTAGTGACGTAATGAAAGCAGTACAGATGCCAACATTAGCTTGCAGACTAACAGCTACGCGATCAAAATCAGCAAACCGATAACTAAAAACACCTGAGCCGACAGTATTTCTCTGTTGCAACTTTTGGTAGTTAATTCTAATCAAGGGCGTCCTCGATTAACTTGTTCCTTAGATAAAAGCCTCATTTTTAATTAAACATCTCGGTCCATCGACTTCGAACTAATGACCACACAAACAGCATTTAGGCGTCGACAGAACAAATGCAAGCTTTACATCGGATACAAAAGACAATTTGGCTTACGTAAAGCCTGATGAAGTTCAAATCAATCCGCTGGTTTTGCTTCTTTTGGATTCTCCACAGGCAATTCAAATAAGCCTGTAGGTGGAATCCTTCTGGTGGAGCAGTGAATGTACCACTTCTGTTGGTTAACGTGAACTGACATTCGACTAGAGGATACAAAAAGCACAATCATCACTGACAGCTAAAATCATCGCACTGAGAAAAGCACTCATAATTGAGCCCCTAAATGTAAAAACTAATGTAAACAGCACTACTCGGCTTTTTAGCGTAGATCTGATTCGCTCACAGGACGAAACCTGAATTGAACATTTCTTAATCTCCCTAAACTACCACCAGTTAATAAGTAGTTTGGAAGGAAGAATAATTTACACAACGAACTGGACTTTCACCTTAGAAGTCCTCACTCGGGGAACTAGTCAATACTTGACGCCATAACGTGGTTTCTGTAATTAGAGAATGAGTGGAGCTGTATCCTGTGCAAATGATAGCTAACCTCACTGCTGTTCAGCCACATGAAGTCAAAAGCTTAATTGTCTAGCCATCGACCAGAAGGTCACCTGTTCCATACTCTGAGTTTCGTTTCGTGGGATGCGCACTGCTGATGATTCTCAACACGGAGATAATAACTCTACAGTCAGCACAAACAGACCTTACTAAAACAACTAGTTATTGATCGATATACGAACCTGCAAAGCACCCCTAAGGAAGTAGTTATTTTGTATTTGCTTGTAAGCGTCGTAAAAGCAGTCTTCCTCCCAATCAGGTTTAAATCCTCGAATCTTTGTCTTTCAAGGAAAGTCCACTCCAAATTTGGATGAATTTACCGAATTCTCATTTTATTTACGTTTGTTATTCTTGTGATCCTTAAGTTCAGTTTACCTCTGAATTAATTCACCAGGGATGCGTTATCCAAATGTTTCATGTAAAGGCCGTTTAACGGGTTGATCGATTCACCATACCAAAAAGCCGCGTTACTCCCAGGACTGGCGTAAACCTGCCCAGAATGCGCCGCCATTCTCGGTAAATTTTTAAACTGTTAGAAATTTACTCCTTTTTAGCCCGCTTCAAATTGTAATCTTTTTCTCTATCATAAAGAGATGTGAACATGGTGTAAGAAGCATGACTCAAGTCACTGAATTCGTGTTTAGGATGTAGTCGATACTTCAACTTGACAGATGGTTTAAGGGTGTGCTTACCTGGAGAAAATTTAGCACACTTTTTGGTCACCTTTCCACATTATTTTTATCCTCCTAAGTTAGCTTTTTTCGCATTTATCCCTCTTGCGTTGCATGCCCTGGTTTCTGATCTCTGATCACCTTGGTTGCATATCCCATATTGTGCACTGATCATATCGATCAGAGCCGAGTTCTCGCTTGTACCATTAGTGCAGATTTCATGTTTCGGCCATTCACACACTCTTCCAAACTCTTCCTTATCCTGAATTCGTCAGAGTCTCTGGCATGATTGGTCACTATCTTTTCGAAGACCGGTTTCGCCCCTCTTGGGGCTCATGCAGCACATTCAGTTGCAGAATATCATAAACGAGAGATTCAGTTGAGTCTCTCGTAAAAACCAAATTGATTTGCAAATGAGTGTGGTTCTCAAAAATAGTACAATTTGGGTTCAAGTAGAACATAAGGTTTACGGAAACTCGGGGACTGCGCCCACCTGATGAGCCCCAAGAAGGGCGAAACGGATCGTGGGCTGTCGAAGAGTTTTCAGAAATCTTGTGAGTAGTTTCCCTCATGAAAATATACGGTGATATCTCGAATATTTTGCCAACTAAAACATAAGGCAGCCTGTGTGTATCACATTCGGTTGTAGAATATCATAAACGAGAGGTTCAATCGAGTCTCTCGTGAAAACCAAGTTGATTTGCAAATGAGTGTATTTCTAGGTGCTTCCGTAGGACAGTTAGACATCTTTGCAATGTGTGAGCATCAATCAACTTTATTAAGCATCTATCGAACCAGATTTCTGTTATTGGATCAATAACTAGAAAACACTTTGGGTTGTATATAATGAATGTCCAAAAACCGTGGCAAGCCTCTCGCGCACTTACGCGCCTCGTACGTTGCCCTGAACTCATCGCCAGAACGAAGCTCCTCGCTTATCAACTCCAAATCCATCCGTGGTCGGGAAGAGAGAAACACCAACTCATCGTGGTGCCCACAATAATCGCCCACAAAACAGCAAGTCTTGCGAAATCCATTGAATACTTTCAACGTGTTCTTCGTGCATTGTGTAGCTCGGCCGCCCAACTGAAAGTCCAACAAAGGTGGAACTTTAATTAATCATAGTGTTTCAGCTTGCGACCGGTCTTAGAAGAAAAGACTACAAGAAGATGCCTTTCTCACCCTTCCTTCAAGACGGATTTCGCTTCCAAGAACAACAAATGAAGTCGGTGTCGAAGGAAGCAATATTGAGACCTCGTCAAAGAAATTACCTCTTCCTGAGGGAGCTTGGCTGCGAGGAATACTATGGATACAATCGCACGGAGGCGGTGTAGACACATATCGTCACAAAGTTATAAGTCAAGCTTATTCTTCAGGCGAACTTCTAATCATACAACATCAAAACTCCTACAAGTATTTGTGTGTAGGTAACATAGTTGTACGCCAGATTTGAACGTGCAAACTGGAAAAAAGAACCAGTTCGAGACGAAACGATATGCCTTGTGATTGCGTGGCTGGCGGAAAAAATAAGAGAAGTTTAACATAAAAAATTAATAGAAAGCTGGTTAGCATGCAAACAGAATATAAATTCCAAAAACTCCTAGTCTTATCAGTAGAATCTTCTCTAAATCCTTTCAGTGATCCTATTTAAACGAATACACCTATAAAACTCGCTGTCCTCTACTGGGTAGTTCGTCCCACAAGTGAAGCCGATCTGTGCTGTGAAGCCAAGGAGCACTGCATAGATCGACTCCACTTGCAGCACGAAATATTCACCACAAATTCTCAAATCACCCTGAACTACCGCGAAATTTATCTAACGTAAGTGTATTATCATTGATAATAGATAAATCCCAAGCAATCAATGATGATTACGAACTCTATGTTCTTAGGCAAGCTGAATACAGAAAAAGGAAAGAAGTCTTCACGCTCTATCCTGTCGTTTACCGGGAAAGAGATTCCGTCCAAGGAGTGTTGTTCGGTTACAGTATGTGTGTATGAGCTCATATTTCAGAATTTACAAATCCAGCTCCCTATAACGTCAACTAGGGTGTTGTTTAACTCACCGTTACATCAATTATGAGCTTTTCTAGTTTAATCTTGTTGATTTTGGATGCGGGCTAATTACTAAACCTTATTAGTGTAATTAGCGACAGTACAAAGGCGCCAAAATGTGGGTTGGTTTTGTTTACTTCAAATTTGCTACTGAAATTTTCAGATCCATTATTGTCATCTGCTAGCTAGTGATAATAATTTGATCGGACAGTCTGGTGCAGAATTCTCTCCTGTCTTCGAATAAAAACGCAAAGTTCACGACCAGCTACCTACCGAAAGAATGTGAACTTCCCGAAGGCGTGGAGTCAGATTTAATTCTAATCCAAACGAGTTTCTTCAGAAGCTAGGGGATCGTTATTTGCAGTGTAGCAAGATTCGGATTGGTAGTCACAACTCCCAGTACCGGTTTCGCGCTACCGGAAAATACTTGATCACATACGTGGCCACGTGAACACGTTCGCCTGTTTAGACGAACAGTGTTGGGGTAGTGCTAACAAGCTCGTCCAACGGCGATTGGATATGAACTGCTGATGGGCGAAACTCGAGTATAATAATTCCCACCATTTGCCGTGGACTGACCTGAATAATTGCTCCAGGACAGGAGAACGACTACTCGAACGAAATGGACGGGAATATGAACAATGCACATCACGCAAACCCCACAACAGAAGTCAAAATAGCTGTCCATTGGGTTTCAAGCCTGTATGGGGCTACCTAAGAGGCGAGTGAGTCCATCTAGAGTGCATGAACCCGCAGTTCCCTAATTCACCAAATCAAGAAAGGGGACTATACGCGTGAGTGATGCAGGCCACTTGCCAAGTTGTGTTGTAAAATGCTCCAGGAATTTCGAATATCTCCGATGACTTTCCGCACCATAAATATGCGGCCACTCGTTGTGGCTCACAGAAGCTCTTTTAAATAAATTCGATATCTGTCTACTTTAGGTCAGATGGAGGGCAAAAACGTGTACCGATCCGCTTCGCATTTACTGCGGTGTTTTCGAACGACAAGCGGGTTTCATGTGTAAAACCTATAAGTTGTTGAAAAAATGAGGAAAATATGCATCTGTAGGGCAAAGTGCTGGGATATGCTGGAAGGACGAATAGATTTACCGTATGATTCCATTTTGCACCACCGGATGTTTTTATTAGGGTGATTTAAACTACTTATTATTTACAGTAAATGAGTCGCGATTTAGAAATCCTTCTGGATTTAACTGGAGCGGTAGAAGTGAATTTTCATCTCTTGTTGTCCTTCTAAAACTTCAGGGCAAGCACGACAAATTCACGGAAAAGAGTATCTTCTAACTGCCTGAAAATGTGACCTCTTAATTCAAACGGAAGTTAAAGGAGCCAGATAGCAGTTTAAATACTTTCTGTCATCTACTTACAAAGTGGCGTTGATAAGTATTCAAGCGGTTCCACGCAAAAAGCCACTTTTGACTACTATACTACCATACCACTAGTATACCATACTACAGATATAGCCAAGGCTTCGTCTGAGCTATCCGTTAAATTTGTACAAGAATGTTTCAGAAAGCAACCAGCAACGCTGTTCTGGCATCACAAAATGACGCACCAAACTTATCAAAATTCATTGGTGTTAGCAAACCAAAATCGACGAAAATTAAGTTAACTACTATGGCGTTTTCTGATTTTCATCAAACCGAACACAAAGAAACATGAGAATAGCGGCAGTGGAAGTTGAGATTAGACCACATTTCAGTTGTGCAAATAACTGGTTTGAGGGGGCAGGTATACATAAATGTGTAGTGAATAATCTTTGATTTTTCGCTAGCTTTGCACCAACTTGAGATTAGCTTGCGAAGTTAAATTCGATCTCATTAGGGAATAGGTCACGTTCCACGATAGAGTTCTAACGCGCTGCAAGACGGTTACCATTTTGCGAACGTAGACCGAAGTGAGGTCAAGAACCCAAATTGTATATTTTGTTTACCAACGTTGCGCAAATGTTTGGCCACAATCTTGCAACCGCATACCCCACTGGTTCTCTATGTATTTTGACTTACATTGAACCGGGAGAAGCGCAAGAAGATCGGCTTCTTATTTCTCGGTTTAATCACCCAGACACATTCTACTGAGGAACCGGAACTTGCACGCCATTCTATCAAACCACTTGGCGCGTGATATTTGTGGCAGTCTTCCACTGTAATGAAATTATATGCATGCTTCATTAGTTTCTTGATAGTAACGTGTAAGTTAAATCTGATCAGTGTAAAAGGGTGATGTTACTGAAAGCTGAGTATATTTCATTGTGAATTCTGGGACTAGATAAAAAAATTTGCTTTATGTTGCATAGACCTATCAGCGTACAAATTATCGCTTTGCAGCCTTCAAGAAATACAGATGAACGATATGGAATTTGCATGATGACAGCACACTATCTGAAGAGAAGTTCATTACGACAAATCTTACTGGTACACATAAAATGGCTAATGACCGGTGTTTAAATAGCAAGGGCTACTAAATCGCGGTGGTGCCAGATGAGCAAAAAGACTAGCAAGTTCATTATTGTTTCAAACTGCGCATTAGCTGGGATGTGAAACGCCATGAACCGTCCATAAGGAAACCCATGGGTAAGACATTTTATTCAAGTAAAATACCAGTATGCGGACAAAATGTTTTCCTATTTGCAAAGAGGAAATAGCTGCGGTCACCAAACACTAGTTTTAGGGTTAATCTGCCTGATGGAAGCCAACTTGACCATCATAGATTGCTTTATTTATCCACATCGCATCACAGATTGAGTTTTATCATCAACTGTGAGATCACAATCTTATAAACCCAGTAGACTCAACTAAACTAGGCGGTTATCATAACGTAGTATATAACACTTGGCGTTTCTGAGCGTCCTGCCTCGTCTTGCTTGGGAAAAATCAAATGAAATCGCACAAGTCCACTAACCACAAAGTATCACTGAACCTCCTAGGGGAAGAGATGTCCCACTGCGGGGGCACTATTCGGAGACCATCCAAAAGCAGATCACGTCAAGCGAACCACATCGTTAATGGCACTGAGAACCACTGGTAGGAATAAAACATTTGTACATTGATGCTGGGTTTTTTTTCGGATAGCTTTATTACATTTTCAGGATGATATTTCAACTAGGAAGTTAACAAAAGTCATCCAAAATCGATGATTTTCCATAAAACCTGGGTGTTATACCCTGTTAGCAAAATCCAGACACAGAAATCAGTAAGAATGTTTTTTAATAGTTTCGCTTATCAATAGGGGAGAATGGGTACAATACATATGCATTGAAAGCTTTTTCAAGAAAAAGCCCCACAGTCCAGGGCAGCTCTTCTTTATGCATAACTTGTCGGGGTAAGGCAGTCTTTCAATGGAAGCCTGTCGCAGTGTCCCGATACCGAGGACTACGTCATATGTAATATCATCCTTAGTGTTTCCAGTAGCACAGGAGAGTATTAGAGAAAACAGCGATCAGTTATCGGGTGATTTCAGACGCATTCCCTTTCAGGTTAGATACGATTACATGTCAGTATAAAATTTTTGTGGTACTTTTGCACGCTTTAATTATCTGCTTACAAAATTTCACAGGGCATCGATTTCGAATAACTCATTACCGTAAATGGGAACTCCCCAAAAAGCTCAGAAGATGAACCAAACTGAAATTCTGGGGGCGAATTTGCTATTTTCGCCTTTTTATTTCTGTTGCAACAAAGTGGAACAAGTTGAAAGCTATTTTAGATATCAAAGGTAAAGAAAATTGTGGTAGAATGAGGTAGAGGGACAAAAAACGAGGAGAGAACGACTTGAGTAGTGCTGACGTGGAGGCCTGTACGGCGGTCACAATCGTTCACTGAGAGTTTTTGAGTATACTCGTTAAAGTGCAATAAAACCACTCACTTGATTCGTAGGTCGCTTCAAATTCGTGATACGGATAAACCTGATTCACGTGGACATAAAGGGTCATATGTGGTCCAGTTGACCGTATTGACGGGAGAATAATAGGGCCACACGCTTTCCGAAGCATTCTGGCAGTACCACTCGTGCCATCGTACACTTCAAGGAAACTATCCAAGCATCCGGCTTGCTCGCTTTTCAGCTGTCGGTCATAAGTATCATCAAACGGAAAACCGATTAATCTTGTTCAGGTAAAACTTTTGTTTGGTAAACTCAGATCACAAACCAGTCGGTTCCACTGTTCGAATGTCTGCTCGGCCAATCGAGTTGCATCACACGTCCATGTATATTAGCAAACTAACAGGAAGTTACGTGAAGTCAATATTCTCAACTTTTTATCATATGGCGGAAGAAGTCGGGAGATTTCGCAAATTGGGTTTGAATCAGATGGTTGTAGCGTAACTCCTTGTCTTATTGTTTCTTTTCTCCTCAATCCGGTTCACCGCACTCAGTGAATATGTGCGGCGATGACGGATTTAAGCTGAGGCAAACAGTCCACGTGATCGAGACAACTGTGCTTGTCACTACCGACCGGCCGCAAAATACCAGTTTTAGTGGATCAAACAGAACTGTGTAAATTATTTTCGAAATGTGAATCTGTCATCCTATTTCCTACTGACAACATCTCTTATTGTTTCTTTTCTCCTCAATCCGGTTCACCGCACTCAGTGAATATGTGCGGCGATGACGGATTTAAGCTGAGGCAAACAGTCCACGTGATCGAGACAACTGTGCTTGTCACTACCGACCGGCCGCAAAATACCAGTTTTAGTGGATCAAACAGAACTGTGTAAATTATTTTCGAAATGTGAATCTGTCATCCTATTTCCTACCTGACAACATCTTCTTTCCTGTCCTTCCTATGGATTAACTTGCAGGTCACGATAACACAATTAGGCATAAACCCGACACTAATACAAATCTTGAATAGACCAGTAAGTTCGATACGGAACCATGTAAATCTGGAGCTGAGAAGGAACCAGTCATCGTTGATTTACCAGTACTTAGATTTTGAGATGACAATAATCTGTCATTTCGGTGCGTGATAGGTCACTGGCAGATCAAGATGACGGCGTTTATCGTTAATCCTACTTTGGTTCTTCTAGGCTTTGAGACTCGCCATTTGGCGACTATTCATGCGTTTGTACGAATTAATGTCAAGCAGTCCACTTTCTATGTAAGCGCTTCTGTATCCAACGTGTTCTATAGAAGACAAGTGTGGATACATATTCCTCTGGATTTATTGATTGCATTCAAGGTCGGTGATTCAGCTGACTGAAATATGAAGTAACTCTAAGCGCGATTCTCCAATCGCATGCTATCGGGATCTGGAATTTTGTGAACACTACTCACTGGTTAAACCAAAGCACTAGTAGACCTGTATGAGGTCCCGATTCACGTTAGCCGTTTAGTCATTTTGCCATGAATAAATGGTAAGATTACGTTTACATCAGTTAGCTCCATTCAAATGTTCTGCGACTGGAATAGTAGGTGCTGTATTTAAAAAATATGGATGTCATTTGATTTGTCGCTTAAAAACGGCTGGGAGAGCGGCAGAAAGAGTTAACCATTCAGATAACTTACAATGTGGACGATGTCCCCGTTCGCCCCGTTCGGTGTTACACAGGCTCAGATTATGCCACTGTTCGTTAAGGTAGGCGCCATCCAACGCGATCAAATAAAATGTCACAGATACACTGCAACGTAGCTATCCTGTACGGGTTTCATCTCTGGGTACTTGTGGGTAGTTTTGGATTTTGTAGAAATTAAGTTTCTCAGATAGTCCTGCTTTGGTGTGATTGTCCTGTTTAAGCCACTAAATTGGTACTTTCCCTAACATGTGGGGATTTTGACCACTTCTTGTAAGTCCTCGTACAGTAATGCTAGCACGCTCCGTTCGCGTGCTAGACTTTCGGAATAGGTCACGCGGCAAGGCGTCGCTGATGTTCTGTTTTCTTTTCGATTCGTACTATCCATAAAAATAACGTCAGGACTGAAGCAGGGTTACTTAACCGATAGTGCAATATTTATCCATTTATTCCGTTTATTCAAAGTTGTGTTTATAGACGAGATCGGTTTGCTAAAGTTGCTAATCTTGACCATGATGCCCCTATACACCCAGGCGTTCCCTTTTCCATCTTGTGAGTTTCCTAATATCATGCGAAATGTGGGTTGAGCCTCAGGAGGAAATCCAGTGTCCTATTCCTGTCAGGGAATTCCCCTTTCGAGCTTTACCCGCTTATCCTAGTCCAAAAACATTTGACTCGCTTTACTCAAGCTTAATATGCAACCGGTAGCGGTTCCCTGTAGGCATTAGGTCAACTGCATCATCTGTGACAATGCGCGCTAGGTTATTGTATAAATTCTCTTATTATGTATCACGACTTCTGCCGCACCCGGATCTACTTCGGTTCAGATGTTCAAACAATTGTGCTCGCTTTCCTTCTCTTTCACATTACTTCAGAACTAATAGTGGAATTCTACTACAAATTCTTATTAGATCCACATCGTACCTTGATTTGGCTGTCTTATTCACACTGATATTCTGCAGGTTTGCAATAATCAAGGCGTTGAAACCGTTTGCCATTTCGATCACACGATGGTCGTAGAGAAGGCAAACCTCAGTATGCGTTTACGACATGGACGGATTTTTCGGAACTTTAGTTACATAACAGTCGAAATTTCTCTCGAAACGAGTGAGAAGTGGAGTCTACTGATTCAATTCTCAAGGGTTGCTTGACCTAGATTGTCAAGGTACGCAACGTTGAGCTCACTTCAAAGTAGTTAACTATGGGCTCTTCATCGCGTCACACAGTCCTTGTTTGATAGGCTTGACTTAATCTGGACGATAAGCACCCTTGAAAAACACAGTATACAACAAATGAAACACGATGGATCTGAAAGACAGGAGCAAGATAAGGATAATCCACCCTCTTAATGGCTTCCACCGTTATTTGTTCTGGGTTGATGCATAAAAATATCTCTTTGGAATGAGCCCCCTGGTTTTGTGGTTCTTCTACTAGTTTGGCGTCTGGGGCACCTATACACAATAATCCGGCAGCACAACTGCGCACCAAAAATGAATACACAAAACTACGAAAGTTGTGGCTTATTCACTCAAGATTCAGCAACACGTTGGATCGAAAATTCACCGAATCTGATAAAATGTTATTCCTTGCCTCAGAATACTTTACACACGGGTTCTATCTGTTATTCCTAATACAAATAAGCCATTGTGATCGGGGAACTAGTCCATAGTCCTCAAAATGTTTAACGCAAGGAGATAGTAATGCAACGCAACACCGGAGCTTACCATCATATGTTGCAACCGTAAGTCAATTGACGCAATGTTCGGCATATCCAGTTTCCATATACAGTCGAATTCCGGTGTTCCTTGCTTGCTGAATTTTATCAGACCAGACGGTGTTTTAATAACTTCAATGCAGTTTGCTGGAAACAAAGAATATCATGGTGTACGGGTGTTAGTTTGACGGAAGGGAATGTATCCTGAGCTGCTTAAAAATATCTCAGAAACTAATGCGTGAAGCACATACTCCTGTCATTAACAGTTGGATTCTAAATTGCGGTGGTAAAAAATGGATCGCTATTGTATAATTACACAGTCTGTTGAGGATTGTCTCGGTAATGAGAAAATCGTGACTCTTAATGTAACATACTCATACTGGAGCATGCAACTCTCATAAGTAAACGATAAAGAAGTCTATGATTGCGATTTCGCGTTGCAGGCTTTTGGAGGTCTTCAAAGCCCATCTATCTGGTCCAGGAAACAACCTTGGACAGGATGAGTCCACAGGCTGTTCACTTGAACCCATCCTCACACAGTGGATATGATTGCTGTCCGAAGGTGGGTCCATTAGAAAGACCGAAAACCACGTCGAATGGATGGATGGGCTAATTGGCTGCAAACCAGAAAAAACTGTGCTCCGACTGGCCCCAATATTGACCAGTTAGAGTCATGTTCCTCCACCTAGACCCTTGGCTTCATCACAAATGTTCACATGGGACATTGCAGCTGAATGCAGCTGCCGGGCATTTTCCCTTCTTTGAAATGATGATTAAGGTTGCTACACCGGATGAAGTACCACACTTAGTTGAACAACAAATCAAGTACCGATGAAAAAAGGTGCACCCTACACTGTGATGTTGTTTAATAGCAAGCACGAACTAGGCGATCAGAATCCAGTAGACACGAAAATAAGCATCTACCTGCGCATCGTTTTTCGAATTGAACACTCTCAAGCATCCCTCTGAATAGTGAACAACAATGAATGAACACCATTCGTCAGAAGTGGGGGCGCAGCACCAGGCATCTGACAATACTACTTGCATGCTTCATCAGTAGTATACGTTGTCACACCAGTATAGGTGTTGGGAAACCAAAAGAGTGCTGTAAATGTGGTTTTTAAGGTTCCTAATTATAACGATAATTTCGGCAACGCGTTTAGTAAAGCTGTTAGCGACTTTTGGAGCTTTGTGTCCAACTAGCACGGATATTAATGGGAATGGTTATTCGTTATTTCAGTTTTCATTAGAGCGAAAGTGCTTCTGGTTTGAGGCCGTCCATTAAAACACGTCGATTAGTTCAGAATTCCGGAACATTATTAAATTGAATGGCACATACGAACTGCCACACACAGAAAAATGAATACGCCTGCCTAATATGGATGGATGTCGAAACTTAATCTTTACACACATGTAGAAACCAAATGCTGTAGGTTTTCGAAACCCACAGTTACACACGTATTAGGTGCGTTGGATTTTGCGATTACAATGCAAGTGATATTTGTGTCAGCGATGCCAAACCCCCCTCCCTCTCATGGGCTCGTTTGGGTCACAATACCCACTGAAACGACGCGCGGGAGTCGAAAATTTTATAACCTATGCCAATAAATGAGATTCAGGAAACTTCATCACATTCTGACAACGCATTTAGGATGTTAGTGACGCTCAAATAAGTTAATCGGGAAAATTAGAGTAGCTCGTCCTTCCAGCGTCGGATGTGATAATTTTGTCCTCTTCATCCAATCCACGACCTAAGCGATTTTATAAAACCAACATCAGGCATATGATTGTCTTGTTGGAAAGATCCTCTTTACCAGAATATTTGTAGAAAATTGGCAAGCACAAAAGACAGTCGAAACGGTCGTAGGGCGTTTTGTTTGCTACGTCAATGGACTTCAGTGTAGGCCCATTGTTTCACCATTCATAGCTTTGTATTAGTCGAGAGTGAGACTTACTTGATGTGTAGCGAGCTTTCAGTTGGTCAGTGCTAATGGGATCCGCCCGATGCAAGTGAATGAACAGTTGTGGTCCTGATGAAACAATAGGAACAATCGTCATTTCCCCACAATAGGTCCCTAGTAGGTTTGCATCAGCGGCTTCTCCATCATATATTTTCATGTAATTTTCTTTGCAATCAGTCTGGGAATTTCCAAGCTATTTTTAATCAGAAATCAAAAAAGATTATCGCTTTGATTTTTGGATTGGTGGATGTATGCGTAATTTTATTTGTCACATAGCATGAAAGTTTGAAGACAAGTTGCTCAAAGTGTGTGTCTTCACCAATGCTTTCTGGAGAACACACAGATATACATATTGCTCCAGTTAGGATGAACGAGTAAAGCTACACTACTATTGAATACGTGAGCGTAAATGTGTTACAGAGTTTGGGGAATTTCTCACTTTCAGACAACAAACTGGTCCATCCAAGCCGAGATATTCTATACACAGCCTGAGACTTTCCGGTCAAGTTTGCAGAGACATCAAAATGCCATACAAGGTAGGTCTTAAGGGGACGGAAGATCAATAAAACTGAAACAACCTGGGTGAAAAAACATAGCGCAAAATACTCTGATAACAACACACTAAACTGCATTGTTTCGGGAATATTATTTTGCTTAGGTGTTTCTAGCCAAATCTGATCATTACGTACGAAAGGCACCCACCATAAATAATGTACACACCCTCCCAATCTTGTCGGAAAAACATGCTATCGTGTTCTCGGGATCATACCTTAGAGTTGTGGACTATGTACGTAAGTTTGGTAAGCGTAGGCACTCCAGTTATTCGAAATAAATCGCAATATTCCTGGCCATGTGTACAGTTGTTAGGATTAGGTCCACGTAAGATTCTCGTAGATGATCTTAAATAAAATGCCTGAAGTAGTTTACTGACACGTAATGGTTTGCTAGCGGTTACTTAACTCATGGTAGGTTTGCCTGGTTCATCAGCATCATCATCTTTATCGAAAGCATGACATCAATGTTCAGCACTAATGCTTCACTGCAGTAACGATGTGGCATGAGAGTATTGTTAGTTGTAATTGTCATACCTGTAAGTGAGCTGATGTACTGTCGGGGCGCCCACACCTAGACAGGAGGACGATATGAGTCCTCAACTAGTCTTTAGCTCAAAAGCCTAGCCGCAATGCGGCGGTGTTTGGCGGTAAATTCAAATGTAATACCATCTTTACGGAACCAGTCGCCACATGTTCCAAGCCCAACATGGAGGATCAGGAGACTGTTTTCGTCAGAACTATAAACATCGACCAATCTGGTATGAGAGACTGTGAGTGCCGCGGGAATTCCCCCAGTACAGCTCAGTGGGTCACTGATGTGTGCAAACCGTCACACTAAGTTAAGGTTCATTCCGTTCGTGATGGGTTTCCTTGGTAAGCGGAATTTGTCACATTTGGAGGGATTTCAATTTAACCGAACCCGTGTACAGTTTGCTGACCAATGAACCAGCTGTTTACTTATCAATACTAATTGAAACTTGGCATATGTTACCTATTTTCCTCCCTAGTTCGCACCAATACTGTGCAGAAAACGCACATTAAGGGTAACTGCCGGAGAACACAAGCAGTTATTAATACAACGTCTATTAAAAAAGACTCCTTTCTACTGGTGGATGGCACAGACACGTAATATACCAGTTAAGACGCATTAACCGAGGACAGAGTATGTCAAGGCCATGATTGATCTCACGATGCACAGAATAGTCTTACTGACGGAACGACTTCACACACTGCTGTACGTAAGTTGCTCTTGCCTGATCTGAGCTAGAAGCGGAGATCAACTGCGATAATAGGGCTTGAGATTGGAAGCATCGGCTATAGCTCGTGAATACTTTCACACATATCATATTAAAACCACAGTGACAAAGGTGCATGCAGCTTGATGAATGAATTCCTGCTGTAGTTTGACCAAACGACCTTTGCCCGAGGCACATCGATCATGGTAGTTCTCTGTGAATCTTGTCACCGCCGTGATGGAAGAAATAACCTAGGATGATCCTGTCTAATGGCGGTGACTAAAATTTGGAAAAAACGTCATCCTGAAACATCCAGAACAGATCTTGGCTGTAGGTTTTGAACAGGTATAAGAATCCTTTGATAAAGGTAACTACTCACAAGGTTGCTGAAAACTCTTCGAGAGTCGACGGTATGAAAACCTCTTTTTGCATAATTACCTCTCTTGTCTTGTTTTTGTTTTCATCAGAATGAGATGAATGACTAAGAGGAAGAGTGCTTAATCAAAAGGATCGTTCTTTCCTGTTTGAGAGAGAGAGTGGAAGCAGAACGTGGTTGCTTTCAAATTACAGTGGCACACAGTAGATGGATCAGAATGAACCCCTTTGTAGATGGTTGCTTCAAGTAATTGCCACCTAAATTCTTGTATTTTCGCGGAATAAAATGAGCAAGAGGATTGGTTTGTTCTGTTGTAGCAAAAACAAAATCAAAATACCGTCTGGCAAACATCGTCCACACTCGAAGAAAATCACATCACTGAATGGCGATATTTTTTATGGTTTTCGCACTGCCCCCTAAAGTTACTCTGTCGTTTATGGAAAGTATGCCTCCGGAAATCCAAAGGCTTCATCTACCCGCTGAAGTTGTCACAACACAGTGATATCTTGTCTCTTCGGAGGATATCACTGATACACTGATGCCACACGTACACGGATGAAGATAAAATTTCGAAGCCTGAACCAGCTAGCCAGAAAATTGGAATATATTGACATAAATGAGATAGAGAAACGACACCAGGAAACGGTGGCGTCTCTCATATGGATTATCTTGAGAGAATCGTTTGTGTTTGAAAATAGTATTCTTTGCAGCTCATATACTCTGACATTTTGTCATGTCCAAACCTACAGCGAAGAGCCCGAGTACCGGGACTAGTTCTTTGTTGTGGATGAAACCGCTTACAGTGACATGTTTGCTTGTCATAGTGCATGATCATTTTAACACTTGTTAACACTTTTAAGGATCGAAACGGGGATGTCGAGCCGGGATTCTTGAGAACGGTGATGCACGTGGCAAAATTAGACATTTAGTGTATTAGTGCCGACTCTATCTACTCGCGCAAACGAGAAGCACCTGAAAAAGTCATATATGCTCGAAGCAGTTCTATAATTTTAATACTCAGTTTCACAACTCAAACCGGCGCCAAGTAACGCATGATTGGAAGCAGTAAATTAGCTGAATTGTTAATGGTACACACAGTTAAAAATCGTTGAATATTTTTTTGACACCTTACCAACCTGCTACCTTTCAAACTTAACCTAGGTTAGAATAACATGGAGCACACTAGACATAATCAAGGTGACGCAAATCCCGACTGATAAAATCACGGGGAGGTCACAAAATTCGATGGTACTCACTGAAAACGATTCAACATGAAGGATGATTCTCTTCCCATCTATGGGCTTTAAAGTCCATTGGGCGTCTTCCGCAGCATTTACCGCAGTCCCTGTGAAGTCTATTTCCCCTGATGTCTGAGATATGATACGCTTGGAACTTTCTGTGCAACGAAAAATTGGGAAATATAATGTGTAGAATGAATAAGCGAATAAAATACACATTTCTTTGATGCTTGTCAGTAAAGTTATCCAAACTAATAACTTCTAGGCTTTCATCTTTCCGCCCAAACTGGTTTTGATCGTTGTTTCCACAAATTTCGCTAATCACATTCATGATGCCTCATGAACTATCAATGTTGGACCTGTTTCAGGCGTTTATAGGAGCGTCTGGGACATATAATTTATCAATGTTTGTGTGGAAGGATTTAGTAATATTCACTTGAGATGCCATTTTGTAAATGAAGCGAGAAGCCGTCACCAAAAGTACCAGCCAAGAGGCGACCACTCGATATGTCTCAGGACTAATGGCCCTCTAAATCATTTAAGTGCTTCTTACCCTTCCAAAATAGGTTTCCTCTATTTAAAGACCGGAATCAAAACATCTATTAATGCCGATTGTTCCTTCGGGTGTCTCATTTTATCAACTGCCAATTTACGCTGTTTGGTATATCCAGAGCTGAGCAGATACTGGGAGTCCTGTTGACAAAGAGACCTCAATAAGCAGGTTTATTTGACTTTACTAAATGAAGCCCTATCTGATGAAGAAATCTGAAATCATATACTTTAGTCAGTTCAGAGCTGTCATGTCAATGGATGAAATTTTGGATCTCAGAAATGAATTCGCCAATTATGTCTGGAAATGACAACTGGCAAGAAACCAATGGTATATCGATACATTATGGAAAAAACTACTTCAATTTCCCTCGCGATCTGTAAAATCTTTAATCAATAATTTGTCGTAGAAATTGTCTGTGCAAGCAAAAGAATGGCATGAAACGGGAATGTCGTTAAAACGAGTCGACGCATGGCGGGAGAATACCTCTATCCTTGGTCGGAAACAGTGGCGCGGGAAAGATTAAAGGTGTAGTCAAAAGCTTTATGAAGGTAATGACTCAAAATATGTCTTCTTCCGGTTGGTTACATGACGTCATGTCGCTGCATCACCTTAAAAATTATCGGTTTGGAGGAAGCAAGTTAGGTTTCTAACAGTTGGAGCAGTTTTCGATATTCACGGATTAACCTGGCAAGTATTGGGACTCCCAAGGTTTATAGGATGTGCTACCTCACCGCATCTACGTATAGCATTGAAAGGTTTTTCTGCTTTATCCAGGTGAAATTTGGAACCTTATTTGTTCGTCGTCCCGATTCGTTGCTCGTTTAAGGTTGCGGACAGAACCACCAGTGTTTTTCTAATAGACGTGTTAGTAAAGATTTTGCGAGAATTCCCATGCTAAAAGATTATAAAAGGTAAAATATATCCCCCGGTTATACCTCCGAATTTAGGTTGACTGAAAACCATGTTCGATTTAATTGGTGCTCTCTTTCTACGTAATAACTTTTGTTTGACGAGAGGTGGCGTTTTCTACTTTTCACTTCGGAGGGCTTTTTATCTGGGCAGTGACCCTGAATGTTACCTCATGCAGTGTAGGTTTTTTCGAGTTGGCCGCACGCTACTGATAAAATTTTGAGTAGCTAGGTGACCGTGAGTTAGCAAATACCGTCCCCACAATTGATCAATATCAGTTAACAAACTGATAGCGAAATGCAAACGAGGTCAAGCGACACACTTACTG